ATAGTATTTTTGCATACTATATTTTTTCCAACAGTATATAGTACGCAGACGCAAAATAAATTAAATAGTACAATATTATATGTTATAGTACGGTTGGCAACCCTTGCTACCACCCATCCGGTAGGGCCAGAAAATTGTGAAAAATATTTTTTCTATTATCTATCGTTCGTGTGCAGAGAATAATAAACCTAGTATGACTGGAATTCTTATATGTATGTACATAGAAGAGCATCGGGCGTTCGAAGGTGATGCAACCTATCAAGTTACAGTTAAGACCATTATGTTTTATGGTATCCACGTCTGGTGGAATGCAGTGGAGATACTACACTAGTCAGAAAGCTAGAGCGTGTGCAACGGGCTACTCTCATTGGAATCAGGGGCACCTTGGCCCTTAATGTCTTGTTTAAAATAGCGCCTGCCTACAGCGCAGGTAGGCCGGCTTTAGTAAGGGTTTCAGTCAGGTTTAGGGGAACCACTTCTTTAACTGACTAGGGATCTAATTTAACACTGTAATATTCTTTCGACTTCCTCCCTGATGACACGGATCACTGCGTGTCTAGTCCGGCGCCAATTAATGAGCAAGATTAGACGGAGGCAGTGGTAAGAAATAGGCATTGGGAAACTTTTGACACGGATGTGTCAAATATTGACGGAAAAGGCGATGTAGAGGTTTTTTCCAGAGAACTCCATATAAACCTAAAATTTGGGTTTCCAGATTCATTTAGTGTTTTCTAAGCAGAGGTTGCTGCTATTAAGGAAGCAGTCGAATGGTTCCTGTTCAGACAATCAGAGCCCTGGATATGCTTACGGTGCCCTCGAAACTAGTAGGGGAGACTGGTAGCGAAATACTTATTTGTATGTGTGCCAAACCATAGTGATATTGCAGTAAATTGTATGGCTGATGAGCGGGCCAGATGTGAGAAGTGAAGAATTGGAAGTCGTCTTGACTACTTGTGGACTTCTCGTGTGTTAACTGAGGCAGCGCAGAGCGATAACGAGGTAATGTGTTAATGTGTTAATGCCGGGACTTTTTAGCCCGAGGGTGGACCGGTTGGGATTTAGGGATTTCCATGGGCACTATATTCTAGTGGGTTTATTGTAAGGACAATGTCCGATTGGAAATCACGCAGTCAGGTTACTCATATTACGTCACACACACCGCGTCCCGATTGTCGCATCTGCATGAAGGACGACAACGTGGAATAATGCCAACACTTCCTCCTAGACTACCTTCCGTTTTTTGAACAGGGTTATAAGCAGCTGGGATCGCATTTTCTAACCAGCTCAGAGATTTCCCTGACTAACATCTTTGATCATTGCCAAAGTGCAACCACAATAATCTAAACTAATTTAACGTATCAACGGATGTCATTCTTCAACTTCAAAGTTCACTTTACTGACGCAACAGGTACAGGATATGTCGTCTTCTATTATCAATTGAGGGAAGTCGGAGATCCTTATAATATTTTCGGCAGTATATTGCCGATCTGCTATGGCTCTCGAGACAAAGTGGTGTTTCCAGAGCCTACTTGACTACTAAAAAAATTATAAGAAATTCGAAACCTTCAGAATATCGCGTTCTCTTAAGTCTACGAAACTTGCAGAGGTCCTCAAAAACACATAAACGAATCTGGCGAACACATTACATTAGTACTGTACCATATAAAAAAGGCCCAGTGGAAACAATAGCTAAAGTACTCACAGTGTTAGAATGCCAGGAAATATACTTCACTTAATGTAACCTAATTTTGCGACAATATTCTGCCTCAGCAAGGCAAGGCAGAGCAACTATTCAATATAAACTTCTTTACCAGTCTATTCTCCCATGCGCTAGATAGCGGAAACCCAGTCGAAGCAGGATAGCTCAAAATTTCAGTAATGCGATGGGAATAAATCTTGTTTATATTTATAATATTTTATATACATACAATCTATGTGTATGTATGTACATTAGAGTGGTCCTTGAATGTAGGAAGCAAATTTTCACTTTCCTAAGCCTCAACCCTACGTCGATGCTACTCAGTGGCGGATACAGGGGACGGGCGATCGACCTCCCCCCAGAGCTCGAAAAAGTAAAATTTCGGTTAAAATATGTGACCCCAAACTAGAAATTTCAAAACAGTCATGTCAGTCATTTCATACAAAGCATTTTCGATGGTTTTTTTGCGTGCCGAAAATGAGCAACACCTTTAACAAAAAAGTTTCCAAAAATTAATGATAATTCCGAGCGACTTTAAACTTGCACTTTGGACTGCATGCTCCAATATCGAAATTTTTACGAGAGATTGTTGAATTCTTTTTAAATTTTGCACAAAGATTAAAACTTGGATCATATGTTTTTTGTTAAAAAATATATACTTAATTTTTATAAACAAATAATTGAAATTCAAAAATATTAAGATAAGTGGTAAAATCTTGTCATTGTGTGAGTGTCGTAAAGTTATGATAAGCACTATATCGATGGCTGAGTGAAAGATCGACCTATCTCAGCAGCCAGTCCGAAAGCTCCCTATCTCAGGAAACTTCTCAAGAACGCCCTACTTCAGAATTTGATCGAAGAACGTCCTATTTCAGAATTTTATTGAAAAACTCCCTACCTCAGAATTCGGTTCAAAAACGGCCTAACCCAAACGAAAACACATTGAAAATATGCTGAGATATGACGTTTTTGAATCAAATTCTAAAATAGGGCGTTCTTCAACCAAATTCTGAGATAGGGTCTGGCTGCCGAGATATCGAGAAAAAACTGAAATCTGCCCTCTGTGCGACACGCCTTAACCGGCACCAAAATTTATATGTGATATTTGTGAACGTTGTATTGAGAGGGTGAGACTGAAAAAAATCGTTCATTCGATTTTAAGGACCACCCTAATGCACAAATGTAATTAAAAAATTCTTGGCAGACATCATTAAGAAACTGAACTGTGCAAGAAATAACTTCCTTTGAACAAACAAGTCGAATGTGTTTGCTTAACTAATAAATAAATAACTAAGTATATGTGCATATATTTGTATTGGCATTTGAAGTCGGGTATTGCCGTTCAGACGAGTGCTGAACAGTTATATTGCGTGTGCAACAGTACGCTGCACTCAAAGATGACAAAGATGACGAAGTTGTTTGCGCTTGCTGGCGGTGAGGATGATGATGACGATGATGAGGATAAGATCATGGTGATGACGATATAAAAATATGCAACACCATTGAATAAAATTGCAAATACACACAAATCCAGACTTCCTGTAAGCCAACACGCAATGCACACCGAAGAGCAGCATGACTTGCCACTTTAGTGGGGCTAAGGAGATAAGTCGATTTGTGGCATATATTAACAACGAGTATGTTCGCAAACATGTGCGCATAAATATTATCTAATACTTATAGGGTGATGCAGATCTTTGACAGCAATTATTTGTGATATGTCAATATTTTGTTCCAGACAATTGGTACCTACAGGCTATGGCAAACTTAGTCATGGAGCGATACTCAGTTGAACAACAAGTAAAAGTGACCCAAACGTTGATCCCGATTCTTCACAAAAAAAAATAAAAAATTAATTATCGTGAACGATGAGACACATTTTCACCTAAAAGGATACGCTAACTAGCAAAACTGTACCTGGTTGGTTGGTTGGTTTAAGTGGACTGTCACCCTTGTGACAAACCATTAGCAAGTTTGTCATTTTGATTCCACTACTCATGCAACAACCTACAATCATTTGGCGGCTTTAATAAATTTCAGTACGTCATACCGAGAAAGTCAGCTGCACTCTGAAATATTCTCCCGGAATGGTTTGCCAAGTTTCTTTGGCCTCATTCTTGCGAGGGCTGGACACTCGCACAGGAAGTGTTTGAGTGTCTCTCAGCAACTGCGATAGAACCTATTGAAGGGCAGTCCTATCCATTCGGCATGCACGCCAACGGACCAGTGCCCTGGGCACACTGCAGTAAATTTTTAAATATCTTTTTTTCTGATTCCTAAGATAGCTTTGGTTTTAAGTGGGTTGTAGGACACCCAAAACTGCCGGGTAATCCTGTCCTGTCCCCGCGTCGGACAGATTTAGTGCGGAGCCGAGTCTGAGAGTCTAGCTTTACCAGCAGTTTGTTCACGATCATGAGACGGTGATAGCACTCCTCCCTGTAGGGTGCATTTACGGCCCTGCTTTGGTACCTACCTAAATTCGGCGTGTATTACTCTATTCCTTAGCAGAGACACTGTCCAAGTCTGGACGCTGTAATCGATCCCTATTTCCATAAGTGTCTGATGAATGGAATCTACAATGACATTATTAAAGGCCCCCTCGATGACTACTGTAAATTGTTTATAATGAAGCGAACTCAATTCTACGTACCACTTCATGTAGGGCAGTCTCCGTTGACTTCCTTTTCAAGTATGCATGTTGAGAGTATGATAAATGGGACGTTTTGTCCTTAATGTGAAGATCCAATAGCCTCTCAAATGTCTTGAGTACAATGGACATTCGTGTTATTGGTCGGAAATACTTAGTATTCTCATTACCCCGTCTCCCTGCTTTAGGAATAAAAATTACTTTAATCTTCCTCCAGCTTAACGGAACGCAGTTCAGTATTAGCTACCCCCTAAATATTGCTTCTAGGACTGGAATTACCATCTCAGAAGCTTTCTGAAGCATGACTGGTAATATTCCATCCATAACCGGTGATTTAAAGAGTGGAAGCTGTAGCTACTGCAAGAAAAAACTATGCACAGACAAAGAGTCATTGTTTTGTGTAGTTTTTGGGCTGGCAGAGTCATTGGATCGTTCTTCTTCGAAAATGATGTCGGTAACGGCGTTACGGTGAACGGACGTTATGACGACTTGATAAACAACTTTTTATGGCCTGATTTACTGAGACAACAGGACGGTGCCTCTTGCCACACAATGGAACAATGGCCCTATTGCTAACATCTGCGGTCTTATTGAATCACTCTATACATGACTTCGTTTATTTATGTTAATAGACATACATACAAATGTACATACCTGCAATTGCACGTTGTCGTCGTTGTGTCATGCGCCGTCGCCTGTGCGTTGTTCCGATTAAAGATGCCAAACCAATTTCTGATGGATTTGAGTTTAGCGCTGGCAAGTGCGACAGGTTTGACAACGTCCACACGCTGTTGTCGTTGCTGTTGGTTTTGTTGCTGCTGCTGCTGTTGCTTCAGCTGATGGTGATGATGATGAGTTGCCGTTGCCGTTGCTGACACATGCACCTTTTTGTATGTTGATTGCGGCAAGTGTTGTGTGTAGGCATGATATTTTCCCGGAATTACGATGGATGAGACGACAGTGGGCGCGCCCGCTGTTACAACATCAGCGAATATTGATGCCTTGCCTTTTTTTGCTGTTATTGACTCCGCTCCCGTTGCTGCTGCTGTGTCTGTTGCTCCCTTTGTAGCATTTGTTGTCTTTGCTGCTGTTGTTGCTGCTTTTGTTGGCGTAACGCTCAACAGTACGCAGGAAATTATTATTAGAATAAATTGCAACTGACGTAAGTGGAACATTTTTAACATTTTGTTATGTGCAACATGCGATATTGCTGCAGTGAAAGAGGGAAACACACACGCACACACACACAAGCGGGCGCACTCACACACGCACGCACGCGCACGCAGTGGCACGTTAAGCTATTTATTAATGATTATGCAATTAGAAGTGTTTAGTTGAGTTTAAATGCACAAAATTTGTACTGTGTTGTTGTCAGTGCTGCTGCAGCAGCTGCTCTTGATAGCTGTGCTTGTTGCGAATAATGTTGCAATATTAATTGTTTGTTGTGGTTGTTGTTGCTGCGAATGTGACTTTATTAACAACTTCAGGTTCAAGTTTCTTTATATTTTATTAGATTTTTATTTTTATTTTTGTCTGTTGCTTTTATATTGCAATCAAAACGGTGCTCTTGATTGCACTACCGTTCTGCTTCTGTTGAATGCCACTAATTGTGGCAAGACATGCGATTAACTGTTAATTCGGATGCACTTCACGGCGCTCAGAGTGCTTTGTTCACGATGCAGTTGACTTCTTACTGATTCTGATTTATATAGTAAATAAAAAATTTTTTTAATCTTTAATTTTTTTATGCAACCTTTTCTTATGTATTCTTTTATTTATTTATTTTCGCAAGCGGGGTACGATCAAATTTCCGGTTTTAATATTTGATTTTAAATATGCTCGTAATCAAATTTTAATTTTATCCTCAAGTTGATGGCTGCAGAGACGAGACTTTAATCTTACGGTTCCTTAATTGCATTAACATTTACACGCCATAAAATATACATATTCACGAAAGTAGGGACCAAAAATAGTAAATTTGCATTTTTAGTTTTACTCTCTTACGTCAGGATATTTTATTTATATTAAAAACAATCAGTAAGTTGTAGAATAACAATATGGGTATCGAATACAAGAGAAAATTCTTAAAATTCAAGAACATAAAATTTTGCATAAGGACAAATGGGTATTGAAAATGTCCTTTTAAAATTTTATCATTGAATATCCTTGAGAATTGGCAATACATATATATTTTTGAAAAATTTTATATGCGAAGGCATAATATACACATGACCCAGAATTTTGCCCTTCCAACTTTATTGGCTTAAAAAACTAAAATTATGTAATTAAAACCCAATTTTCAAATAATTTTTTGAATTAATCATATCTTTGATATTTCAAAGTCCGTTAAAAAATATCCTGACGCCAGAGATAAAAACTAAAAACGCAGTTTTTTGTTGTTAAGTAGATACAAAAAATTATTTTGAATACATGTTTTTTTGATTTTTTTTTAAATTCTAACAGAGTCACAAAACTTAGCTCACACTGTTGTGATTTCTAGTACTTCGCAAAATGTGCAACGAAAACTAGATTTTAAGTGCTAGAAAAATACACAAAAACTTAAATTTTTTTGTTTTAGCGGCATATTTGTTGCAGCAGCAAACTTTGAGGCGCAGTAGAAGGGTTTGTGACTTTGTTAGAATACGGCTGATATTTTTACAAGCTTTTATTTAATTTGCTCTGTATGTATGTATGTATTTATGTATGTTTGTTAGGGGCAAATCTTGCAATACATTTTTGACCAACTTCCCGATGACCTAGAGACTTGAAACTTCACAGTTGGCTCAGAACCCGATGACAATCCCATACTAAAGATGAGTTAATCCGAAAGCTTGCTTTAAAAATATTTGTTTTTACAATTTATTTATTTATTTTTTGTTTCCAATTTTTTTTAAGAGAAAAAAATTTCTACGTAGATAATAAAGACATCCACGAAAGCTTCAAAATTAAAAAAAAAGTTTTGGGGGTTTCTACCGGGTTGTGAAAAAAGTTTTTTTTTTAAATAAAAAAATACAAATTTTTACTTGAAATCTGATAAATTTCACGTATTATTGAACCTTATTCACATAAATTCATAAACTCGCTGAGTTATAGCTGGTCGAATTTTTGGGATCTAAAAAAAATTAAATTTTTCCATACCCTAGTAGCAACCCCTAAATTTTTTATACCCGAGCGCACTTGTGCACAAGGGTATATTAATTTTGTTCACATAACGGTTGTTTGTAACAGCCAAAACGAATCGAGATAGATATAGACAAATGTATACAAAAATGACCAGGATGAAAAAAGAAATCGATTAAGCCATGTCTGTCTGTCCGTCCGTCTGTCCGTCTGTCCGTCCGTCCGTGTACACGATAACTCGAGCAAACATTGAGTTATCTCAACGAAATTTGGTATGTAGGTTTCACCCAATCCAAGGTAGGTTGGTATTGAAAATGGGCGAAATCGGACTGTAACCACGCCCACTTCCCATATAACGGTAATTTCCAGAAATACGAAAACTGCGATATTTTAGTAACTACTGAAGATAATTCACTCAAAATTGATGTTTACAATAATTTTTAGACGAAAAATAAGAATATTGTAAATTTTTGGAAAATGGGCGTAGCCACGCCCACTTATGGTTACATGTGTATATCTTGGTAACCGCTGCACCAATTTCTTCCAAACTTGGCACAGTTGTTGGTCTTGATACAGCATACTAAATGGCCGAAAATTTTAAAAGTCGGACAATAACCACGCCCACATCCCATATAACGATAATTTAGAAAAATACAAAATCTTCGATAAATCAGTAAATATTAAAGCTAATTTATTTAAAATTGATGCTAGCAACAATTCTTTACCAAAAAATACGTTTATGGTAAAATTTTGGAAAATGGGCGTGGCACCGCCCACTTATGATCACATATATGTAAATCAGTAACCATTCTACCAATTTGTACCAAACTCGATGTGGTTATTGTGCTTGCCACATATAAGCAAAACGTTGAAAATTATTGAAATCGGACTAAAATTACGGCCGCTTTTCATATAACGGTAAATTTCAGAAATGCTTGAAACTGCAATATTTCGAAATTGAAGGACGCTAATTTAGTCGGCTGACCATCTAGCGGTAGGTTTTGGACAGGTGAAAAAACATATATTTAATACTTGCGCCGGGTATTTAATGTTCGGCTCCGCCCGAACTTAGACTTCCTTACTTGTTAATATTGAATTTTTCGTGGATGTCTTTATTTTGTACCTATGTAGAACTAAATAATGCGGTGCCTCATGATGTTGACATTTTAAAGACCCTATTATGTATGTATAAAAAAGTTTCTGCTATTAATTTTTGAATAAAAAAAAAATTGTGTGTTGGTGAAACCGGTTTGTCTGCAAACCAAACTTGACAAGGGATGACGAAAATTCGTTCCAAAATAAATGAAAAAAAATTATTATTTTTCACGATTTGATGACTGAAAAATCTGACTTGAATTTTTAGTGTTTTTTTTTTTGATAACAGAATTGTAGTTAAATAGGTCCACTTAAGTTTTAGTTTTTCAACTGTTATTCGCGTTGTTAATTTACGTTGATTCAGACATCATTTTGACAATCTCGAATACAAGCACTCATTTAAAAGATTTTTTTTCTGTTATTTTGTGATAGGATATACATTCATATTTTCTCGCTCATATTTTTTAGCTTTTCAAAAGTATTCGTTGTCTTGGGATAAACTCGCGTCATTGAGACACGACAAGGCCATAAAAAGAGCCAAGAATGGCTAGAAGTACAAAATCTCGAACTGTCTGTAGGAAAAATCGACCCCAGATTGAAATTTACAGTGGATATAAGCGCGGCGCGGTAACAGGCGCAAGGGCAGTGCCTTCACTAGACAGATTAAGAGCAAATATTGGGGGAACAACACAATGCAAAAGGAAGCTGCTCATGTCGACTAAACTTTCGGTACTGATTTGATATCCCAGATTAAAACTAGAACATCGCAAGAAAATCACATCATCTGTGCAATTTCATAAAGGGTGATTCAGATCTTTGACAGCAATTATTTGACAATTGGTACTATGAGCTTTAGCCTACTTAGTCATGGCGTGATACTCAGTTGAACAACGCGTAAACTATTTAATCTAAAGGTTGTTGCCGATTTTTCAGAAAAAAAAAATCATCATGAGCGATGAGCAACACTTTCACCTAAGCAGATACGATAAGAAGCCAAACTGCACCCAGTCATGACAAATTTATTTGGAAAGTTTTTTCGCCTTTTGGAATTGATCGGTAATTATGATCCTCTATTGCATGAACATTTGGGGAAGGTGAAGGAATCTCAAACAAATAAGAACCGTCCCCAAGTTCATTATTTGTCTCCAGAAACAATAACGCACCTGAAGGATATTTAATAGTATATGCAGGTATGCGAGTGTATTCTCCTGGCCTCCATTTGGCTCAAAGTTTTGACGGGAATCAACCAACGGAATCGCATTCTGCAAGCGGGAAATGCCACCGTAACATGGAAAAAGAGACCATACGGAGCCTGATTGATGAATTGAAAGAGTGCAGGGATCAATGGCCGTCAATAGTTTAAGAATATATGGTTTTAGCTGGGAGTGTAGGCATTGCAGATTTGTTCGCAGAGAAAATACGCAAAATAAGGGAGCGAAAGTTTGACGATTCACATGAAGAAGAACCTTCATTCGATTCTGGAACTAAATTCAAGAAGAGATTTTTCTACATCCTCATGGACTGCTTGATTGGCAACGAAAAAACGCGTTTCGAGACCATAAAGGACCTTACAACTAAATTTAGTTTTTTTGTGGAAGTATCAGGAGCTGACGGAAAGAGACCTCAGACAAAAGGCAGCTGCATTCTGTGAGATTTATTGCGTCGGAGTTTCTGCTGCTTCACTGAATCGAGTTAATTTTTGAAGGGGGCCCATGAACGCAACATGTACCGGGGCCTGGCTGGGCTACTGACGGTCTTGGTAATCAGTAAATTCATGTCGCGTGGAATGTCTCATGAAACTTTTATGATTCATTTAGCAGATATGTATGTAGATAGCCTGTGTAACAATTCCCAGTGCTACTCTTAAAAGTATGCATTCGGCTATCTTTCTTCAACTGCAATTATATGCTCATGATTAATTTGCTCGTCTTAAATATTCATTATATCTTCTTTGTTAAGCCATTAACATCAATTGAGCCAGTAAATACACCATATTCACCGTTAGAACTTCGTGTTTACCCTCAGCTATTAGGCACTCCTCGTTAGCACACTGTTGTTACTATTGAAACTACCTTTGTTACCAAACAAAGCCATTTATAGATTATGGCTT